GTGGCTCTACAAAAAAATTGCCCACCTGTGATTATTTTGTGGAGCTATTATTCTTAAGGGATGTAATTCGTGAGTGAAAAACTGATAGCAATGTTGAATATGAAATCATTGATCCTGTGAAGCTTGCTGAATCAAGTAGTTTGTCATGGGATAATCAATCGAGTGAGCATGTTTTTGAACCCAAAACTAATCAGAAAGCAAGCAAGTGAAGATCAGACCAAATTGATGACCTCTTAGCAATCAGTCTTGCTAATAATTTATCCAATGCTAGTAAAACTGGTAGTTGTGAGACAAACAATCAACAAGATGAGGATACACTATTTTTCTTAAGCTTAGTGTCTAGTTTCAAAGGGAGGAAGGGAAAAACTAAACAAATGGCTAAGATAAAGTTTAAATACTGGCAGTTTCTGTTGTAGTTGCTGAAATTGTAATGCAATCTATAGAGGAATGGGCGCTCACGACTTACAAACATGCACTACCATTTTGGTTCCGCTACCTAGATGACACAATCACAGCACTACATGCAGCCGAGATTGATGACTTTCACACTCACATCAACAAACAGAACAGCCACATACCATTTACCAAAGATGTCGAAGAAAACGGAACTCTTCCTTTTCTCGACTGTTTGGTAACACATGACAATCAAAAACTACGAACAGCAGTTTATCGCAAGCCAACACATACCGACCAACTACTAGACCAATCATCTTACAACCCAACTTCACACAAAGCCACCACAATCAGAACATTAACAAGACGTGCACAAATCATATGTGATTCACCGGACGCTCTACACAACGAAAACAACTATCTCAAACGTGTTTTTGACAAAAACAACTATAACTCTGACTTGATCAGACGCAACACTTACAAACCCAATGAAACGAACAACTCAGCGGCAACAGCAACGATACCTTACATCAAAGGTACGTCTGAGACTATCTCGCGTATCTTACGACCATGCAACATACGTGTCGCACATAAACCAATCACAACGTTACGACAAGTACTAACGAACGTAATGACAAAGAACAACCCGATGAACGACAAGGTGCAGTTTACAAATTAAACTGCTCCAACTGCCACGCCTCCTATATCGGGGAAACTGGCAGTAACTTAAACATAAGACTTACTGAACACAAACGAGCTACTAAGAAACAAGACAAAACTAATCACATTGCAAAACATTACCGAATCACAAAGCACAACATTGACTGGGACTCGGCAAAATCCATTACTTACAGTACAGACTATAGACTTACAGACAGTACGGCTTACATTAGAAAGTTGGTATACCAACTTGGAACAAACCCCCCCTCAATAGATCACAGCAATCACCAGCACCTTACAAACAACTTATTCACAATACAAACAAACAATCAACTAAAAACATTACACTTCACACTAATTCACAATGACAATACGCTTATTATTCACGCATTATACGCTCATCATATGACTATCCTTTTCCTATCATACATGTATCGTTCTCGTATCATACACGAATCTTTCTCGTATCATAGGCGTATCGTTCTCGTATGATATGCACATGTTTTTCGTATGATACGCGTATTATACGCGTACCGTATGTTAACAAATACGCGAGCGGTACTGTATTTTATTTTATTTGAGAGTTTTTTAAATCTGTATTTGCTTCACCTGAAAAAATTATTCCCTTATTGCTTAATTATTTAATTATTTTGTTAATAATTCAACGGGTTACCACTGGAATGAGTCCTTTTAATGCCAAGCCACTAGTCTGCCAAATCCTCCCTTTTGAGGTTTTTTCTATATTTTCTTTTTCTAGTTCTTTTTCTTTTATACATCTTTTTATTTTTATTTTAAAATAAAGAATAAATAAAATAAATAGTAAGCAAATTCAATAAATATATGCGTGAAAAGCGATATCTATTTATTTCTACAGAAGTAATACAATTGCTAGTTTATATATATATATATATATAGAATAGATTTTTGAAAAAAGACATTTAAATTTATAAATAGTATTTCTTTTAAAATTAAAATTATTTACAAAAAATGGGAAGACGACAAAGAGTCTCTAGTTTTCTAAAATTCGCAATACCCTTAAATTTGGATTTAAAAAAGCATTAAGTAAAAAAGAATTAGCATTAAAATCTGAAAAAGCTGCAAGAGCTTCAGCAAAATCAGGAGTATTGGGTTCTAAAGCAAATAAATTTGTAAATTCGCCTTTCATGGATAAAGCATTTGAAATTGCAAATAATCAATTGGGTAAAGGTGCATTTAGAGGACAAATGTATGTAAGGGGTAAAAAAAGAAGAGGTCAAAAGGGAGAAAATATAGGAGTGTTAAGACCATTGTTAGGGATTTAACTGAAATCAATTTCTGTACTTAATTAATTCATTAAAAAAACGTTTATGTAAAAATGTTTCATTCAATAAAAATATTATTTATATACAAAATATTTCACTTTCTAGTTTTTTTCTTCCAATATTCTCTACCATAATTAGTAAATATTTCTTGTTTTAATGTTTAATGGTTTAATGTTTTTCGATGATTTTAAAAATAATTGAATTTTTTCTTAAGTAAAAACGAGTTGTTTTTAAAGCATGAACATCGAGCATCATTTGCATATCTTGCTGCAACATCAGTTGTTTCATTAGCATCAACATATTTTCTATTTACTTGTCTTGAGGTAAGATGTCTTCCAGTGTAGTTAGCAATTTTTTTGTTTTTTGAAAATGGATTTTTATATGCAAATAATCCTTTTCAACCGTTAGGAATATTTGAAGTTTTTGTTCTTAAATTATATTTTTTCCCAAGTGAATCCAACATAAATTGGTCATTGAAGTTTTTCTCGACATCTTACATTTTTCAAGGTAATTCCATCACGTTGTTTTACTTTTCTTATACTTTGTTTCATTTTTAGTAAGTCAATCTTATTCCAGCATAAAGTTCAATATTTTGTTACATATATTCATTTAATTTTTTAATTTTAAAACAAATATCAGAATGACTTGACTCGAGATTACATAAATATTTTTTTATAAACATAACATATAAAAAAATGGTTTTTTATTGTATTAACATCATAATATCTTACAGAATTATCATCATTATTATCTGATTTCAAATCTTGAATTGATTGTTGAGTTAAGAAAGGTGAGAATAAAATACATTTATCATTATCTTCTATTTTATAGGTACAAGTAGTACTGGCTCTTCCATTAGTATTTATTTTTTTTCTTTTTCATTTTTATTTAAAAATAAATAAACGTCTATATGACATAGTGTTTTCCCAGCCATTTTATTAATTAATTTTAGCAATGGGTAATTCGATGTGTAAACCATCCAACAATACACCGCTTATAATATTAAATCTAAACTGCATGTTTACAAAAGGTCCAGAAAATGAAATTGATTATCATGATAATGTAGACGGTGAAAAAAATAGATAAAGAAAAAGAAAAATCATATCAAAAAGAAAAAATGAAGAAATTGAAGAAGAAAAAAAGTGAAAATTATTTCAAATAATGAAATAATGAAAATAATTACTATATTTCATTCAAAATTTGGTTAAAAAAATTGAATACATCAAAAAAAAATAAAAAATTGATTTACAATATAAAAAAAAATTTTTACGTTAAAAGGTGAAGTTAAGGATCACATATCAAATTTTTATAAAAAAAATCAAATCATTTCACCAATTTACCTAATTTTTTGAAACAACTTTCAAAAATGTTACAATATCTGGTAAAAAATAGCAAATATATCTGCAAATTCTGAGAATGATTTAGATTTTTTTCAAAAAAGCTCCATTAAAACCTTTATTTAACAGCCTTGTTAACTTTAAAAGAAATCACAATACAGAGATTATTAGATTCTTTTGAACATAATTTACAAAGTAACATTTCAGAATTTTTAAATAATAATTGGGAAACTAATGTATTATGATTGTTCCAAAACAATATAAAAATGAGAAAATCTCATTTACGAAAAGGACCAATTTGGAAAAACAAAACAAAAACCTCATTTATAACTTAAATCCTGATAGTAGGGGTGGTGGTAAAACAAATCGTCCAGTATTGAAGCATCAAAGAGAGATCAGAAATGGCATTTCGCAAATTAAGTGTGACAAGTTACAAAGTCAAATTAAGAATTGTTGTTTTGCTGTGGCTGTATTAATTGGAAAAACGTTTATTAATGATGACAATAAACTATCTAATTTTAAAAAAAAATTATATATATCAGTTGAGGAAATAGTTACTGTACATAAAGTTAAAATATTTTATAAAGAAGCTAAATTACCAGAAGGAAGTGTTTCCATTAACCAACTAAATATAATTTATGAAAACTATTTACAAAAAAAGATAACTTTCATTTGGTAAGTTTTTTCTAAAGATGAATTAGATACAATAATTTATGACTCAAGAGTGACTAATCACGAATCCTTTCACATAAGTGATAAAGTTATTTTTTATGGTTAATTGATTCTCACTATGACTTAATTTTAAGTCATATACATTTTTCTAACTTAAAACTAGACTTATTTTGCTTTAAATGCATGCATTATTTAAAATTTAATGAGTATGTGGACTCTCATATATATATAAAAGGGAAGATACATGTTTAAAATGTTATTTGAACTGTAAGAAAGAAAAAAAATTTTCTATTCAATGCACAGAATGTATCATAATTTTTAAATCAGCAGATCGTTTTCAAAACATCGGTTTAATAAATTGTTTGAAAATAAGAACAGTATTAAGGTCACTCCTTGTCAAAAAATTTTTTTTATAACACATGTAATAAAATTGATCCAAAATTTTTCTTTGTTAAAAAAATAAGGTTGTTTTTAATAATTGTCAAAAAATATATTGTGCTCATATATTCATTCAGAAAATATGTTGGAAATGCAAGAAAATTCCTCTTCACAAAAATTTAGAGTATTTTTTGCACAATATGGATTATTTTACTGACTTATCAATTGATCCAGATAATTGCTGTGGTTATCGTCGATTTGTAATTAATTGTAAGATCACTATTAGTTCAGTTTATGTTAGAACAAGGAAATTCTGTTTGGATTGCACATATAGTTTTCCACATTTTTCTGCATCATGTTCATAATCTTGAATATAACGCAATTTTTGCCTTAAAATTTTATTTTCATTTTGAATATCTTTACATAATTTTTTTAATGCATCAAGTGTAAAACTTTTGTTAACATCAGCCATCTCAAATAAAAAATTATAACAAAATTTTCTCTTATATAGTTATATCTTTTTCTTCAAGTTTATTTATCAATATTTTATTTATAACAATCAACTCATTTCTTTCTTCACGTAAAGAATTTGTTGAAAATTTTTATGTCAAGTTATGTCGCAAGTGACTGTGCTATATTATAGGTGATAAGATATAACTGATATTATTAAATTGATGTAAAACACTATAGTCATGTTAAGAGAACACTTCCTCACCGCAATGCATCATTGGTAGAAACGGAAGTAGGATGTAGGTAGAAACGGAATGGCAAAGTTGCAAGTCAAATGTAAACGCCTAAAACCACTTCTGAATAATTATACATAAATATAGCTTGTAAGCGCTAGTTCGGGAGTTCGGAAAAGTTGACCTTATTGGTACATGAAGTGGTCATACAAATTTGATAAATTAGCAGCTGTATTGCAGAAGACAATAAAGTTCGAAAACACAGTTTAAGGATTGACGGTTGTCCGTAATCTTAACAAGATCAATTTAACTATTCCGTATCGCGAAGAACCATTGCTTGGAACGTAAAATCGTGCACGACCACTGTAAATATCCTATTGAAGTGTTAAAATATTATATTCAAAATACAGTCCTATCCTTAAAGTGAATTTTGAGAACAGTGAACCAGCACTTCGCACAGATTGTGTGAAACGTGGTCCTTCGAGCCGGATCTAGTACCAGTATTCAAGAACACAGAAATAGGATGCAGGGTTGTTCACGATGTCAGAGCTGACAAGAAAGCAACACTCGATGAGTGAGCACAAATCGTATGCCACAAAAGTTGCGAGCAAGGTGAGAAGTATGGTAAACAATAATGCGCTATTAAGGAAAGTCGAACTGGAACAAATGCGGCTTGTACTCGTACAGAAATTAGATACAATTTCGAAGATGGACGATGAGATTAAGAGCTGGTTAGAAAAAGATGAAGATATTTCGGCAGATATTGACGGCTCATTGGAATACAGTCGCAAAGTTTTGGGCGCTTTGGCCGAAATCAACGAAGCGCTGAGCACGCTAGAGACAAACAAGCGAAATGAGGAACTCGCCAACACATCGGCAACTATGGTATCCAGTGGAGCACGCTGCCGAGTAAAGGTGCCCAAACTGGCAGTGAAAAAGTTCTCGGGCAAGATACAAGACTTGCGTGGATTCTGGGACTCCTTTGAAAGTTTAATTCACAACAACGACGGATTGTCTGAGGTCTACAAATTCACCTATCTGAGGGGACTGGTGGACGAGCTCTGACTTCGATCAATTATGCAGAAGACCTGAAAGTGTTAGAATGGAGATACGAGAACAAAGTGATGGTGCAAAGAGCACGTGTGAATGATATGATGAACCTAAAGTCTGTGTACAACAAGAATGATGCGACGAGGCTGCGCAAGTTCATTGACGCCGTGGAAACGAATTATCGAGAGCTCGAGGCGCTAGGTGTAAAGGAGGAGATATATTGTGAGATAGTCCAGCGCAATCTACTAACAAAAATACAGGAGTCATTAAAACTGACGATTACCAGGGGAAGGGACTAATTAGAGTCGGGCATGAAAGATTTTGTCGATGCGTTTCAAGTCGAAGTGGAGCTGCGGTAATGCCACAAATTATCAGTTGGGGAGAAGGACTAAGATCAACGAAGAAAACGACAGGAACCAGGAATAGCTAGCGGATTGTTTGCCAGCCGCAACAATCAATTGTTTTGTGCTTTCTGCTGTGGGGAGCACAAACACGTAGAGTGCAAGAAGATGACCGGACGGACAAAACGTATGCAACTTCTTCGTAAGTTTAAAAGATGTTTTGTTTGTATAAATAAAGGTCATTTAGCAAACGATTGTGGTGCACGTACTAAATGTATTGTATGTGGGGAGGGTCATGTATCTATATGTGACAAAGGAAAAAAGGACAAAGAGAAGGCGGAAAAACAGAGTGGTATCACAGAAAAAACAGAGCAGGTAAATGTGAGTAACGTGCACTTGAGTACGAAGAATAGGGTAGCTTTGAGAACTGCGTAAGGAATTCTTGTAGGTCGGAATGGGAAGAGAGTGCTTTTTGACTTGGGAAGTCAGAAGTCTTTCGTGACAAACAGGGCAAAACAAGATGCGAAGTTTAACCCTATATTAACCCTTGTAGCAAATATGCTACATTGGGCAACACTAAAGAATTCCTACAAATTTTGCAATATTTTTTAACTTTATTCACCAGTGTAGATTTTTTGCTACATGTTTGATGCTAATTTATATTAATAAAGCATGTAACACCCCCCCCAGCTACTATTTTTTACAAATCAAACATGGCGGATCACGAAAGAAGGCATGTGCGACAATCTGAGGCAATTTTAATTGCATTTACTGTTTTGAAATATGATGATTTGTTCCAAAACCTTTGATATTTTCAAACAAGGGCCTTCTCTAGACATTTCGTTTCATCTTTTGTTCTGAATAAATGCATCTTTATGTTCATCATTTTTCAATGAAAATCCTTGTTCCAAATCTGCTACATTGGTCAATAATTGATAAAACGAACTACATGAAGTATTTATTGTAAGTTGAGTTTTTGTTAAATTTATTGAAATATTGCCTATTTAAAATCAATCTTATGATACTTTTAACATATTAACTACTGTATAGAATGAAATTTCATACTATGGCTATGGTTTGTTCTAAATATTAGTTGATACATTTTATAAATGTATTGATCCATATATGTTTTTTTAGATGTCAAATCGCTTTGAAGATATAAGTGAGATCATTGATTATGTTATTGGTTCAGAGAGTGAGTTGAGTGATTTATCTAGTGATGATGAAGTAGATGAATGGCAACCACCTGGTGATGACAGCCAAGTTGCCAAACAACATGATGATAACATGGATATCCCGGCTACCATTCCTGATGATGAGGGTACAAGCATTGATCATCGTAGTACAGTTTCTGAAGAAGTGCCCCATGGCTCAACTGCAAGAAGAAAAGAAAAACCAAAAAATTTATATAAGTTTGACAAGCAAAGAGCATTTGTTCCACCTTCAAACCTTGAATTCACAGATGCACCACTTCAACCTGAACCCAAAGATGACAGTCCCTACAACTACTTCAAATATTTTGTGACCAGCAACATGTTTGAATATTTGGCTGAAGAATCCAATCATTATGCCCATCAAAAAGCAGGGTTTTCACTACAAGCATCAGCATGTGAACTTGAAACATTTGTGGGTCTGTTTTTTCATATGGGATTGGTGCAAATGCCTGCTGTTGGTTGCTATTGGGAAACATACATCCATTATAATCCAATAGCTGATGTGATGTCAAGACAGCGGTTTCAAAAGCTTGCTTCCTATATGCACATTGCTAACAACCTAACAGTAACGGAGGAAAATAAGAATGATAAAGTCTGGAAGATAAGGCGATGGTGTGATGATTTAAATTCAAACTTTTTGAAAGTTAGTCCATCTGAAAACCAATGCATTGATGAAGTTATGGTTGCTTTCAAGGGAAGATCAATACTAAAGCAATATCTTCCAAAGAAGCCAAGAAAATGGGGATTCAAGCTTTGGGCTCGATGTTCATCAACAGGGTTTTTACATGTTTTTGATATTTACCAAGGAAAGAATGCCAGAACTGAAGAAGAAAGTAGTGTCTCTGGATGTGGATTGGGTGGAAATGTTGTTTTGAAGTTGTGTTCAACTCTTCCAACAGAAACTTCAAAGTCTTTGCTGACAATTTTTTCTCCAATTTTGAAATGGTTGCTGAACTAGAAAGAAGAGGATTACATTATGTTGGTACAATCAACAACAATCGTCTTCATGGGGCTCCTCTTAAATCAGAGAAAGAATTAAAAAAACAGGGGAGAGGGTCAGAGGACAGTGTTGTCGAGACAACAAGAAATCTCTCTTTGGTTCGATTGTATGATAACAAGTGTGTCACAATGATCTCCTCCTATATTGGTAATCAGGATGGTAATAATGTACAGAGATATGATAGGTCAAAGAAACAGCATATTAGTGTTAATCAACCATCGATTATTGCGGTTTACAACAAATCAATGGGAGGAGTTGACCTTATGGATATGCTGTGTTCGCTATACAAATATAAGCTTAGAAGCAAAAGGTGGTATATTTACATCTTTTATCATACTCACAATTGCACTGGTAAATGCATGGCTCCTATACAGAAGAGATTGCAAAATTCTTAATATCAGAGCAATGCCATTGAGAAAATTTCAAGCTATGGTTGCCTTTGCCCTGTGTAATGTAAACAAACCACAACGTGGACGTCGGTCAATAGAAAGTGCAAGAAAGAAGAGAAAAAAATCAGTAAATCCAGCACCAGTAGAAGATGTTCAATTTGATGGTGTTGATCATTTGCCCATTTATGCAGAGAAACGACAACGTTGCCGAAAGTGCACGGATGGATTTTCACTTGTTATGTGTGGGAAGTGCAAGGTTCATTTATGCTTGAACAAAAATCGTAATTGCTACACTGCATATCATAGAAAGACATGCTAAAATTAATGTTTTAATGGCATATATTATGTTTTTTTAGAACTAAAACTATTCACTGAACCTTGAGGCTACTTACAATATATATTACCTGAACATAATTAATGTTAGTTTACACCTTATTTACCAATGTAGCATATATGGTACAATAAAGAAATTCTTGGAAAACATGATAAAATGATTTTTTTCTTTTTCGTATGGTTAGTTATGCAAAAAATAAAGTGATAACCAAAGAAAATTTTTTTTCAGAAATAATTAGTCACTATGGTTAATATAGGGT